ACACAGTAGTAGGTGTTTAATAAAGGTTTGTTGATTGTATTTAATTGAGAGGTCAAGAGGGGAAAAGGGGAACAGGATAGAGCCTGATACAGTGTAGGAAGGAACTAGGGAGAGCAAAAGGGAGAGAATTAAGAGGAGAAGACAGCCCAACTAACTCAGCTTCTCCTTCAAGAGCCTTTCACCCCTGTAGCTCAGGGATGGTCTCACCATTGCCTTCCCTCCCCAACTCACCATCTCTAGAACTGCCATCTGCTTCTCGACGGGTTACCGTGGTTTCTTTGTGGCCCTCACTATCCACAACAGTGCGTCGCTCCTCCACCGTCTGTGGGTCACCCCACTCATTCCAGATCAGAACAGATGACATTTTCCATGGACCCCAGCCCTTCATGATCCCCCCAACCCCAACCCATCCCATCTAGCTCACCCCATCTGGTCCAGTGATTTTAGTAACGGAGACACTTCTGAAGTACGATTTAGGCTGGGGCTGTAGGACTTGACCCAGGCCCTCCTGTGAGACCTGGGAATCAAGATCTGGTTGGGGGTGGAAGAGGAGAGATAAGGCATTAAAAAAAAAAGTGGTGGGGGGGGATATCAGATACTCAGGAAGCAAGATGGAAATGTTCTGGGTCAAAAAGTGAACCTGAGTGTAAGGGTGTGTGTAAAAATTCAGACAAGGTAATCAGGGACCCCTTCCCTCAGACTTACCCCTGTCCTCTCTAGTTGCAGTATCAGAGGTCACTGGCCACATGTCATCAAACTGCAAAAGGAGCCACAGCTGATGAAAGGGGCCCCTTCTGAAGAGAAGCAACCCATCGCCTCCCCAACTCCATCATCTGCCCTGCCCCACCTTCCTGAACTACCCTCTACCTCGGGGCTCACTGTGGTATAGTGACAAGGGCAATGAATGTGAAATCAGGGGACCGAGGTTTGAATTGTGGCTCCACCACTTATTGTTTCTGTGACCTTGGACAAATCACAAGGCTCACTTCTTTGGGTCTATCCCTTTATCTGTAAATGGTAGACTAGATGTAGACTGGATGACCTCTGAGGTGTCTGACCTTGCCCCGCCTTCCTGGGCTCACCATTCCCCACCTTGCCAAGCTCGGCCCCTCTCAAGCCTGCTTTGCCCTCACAGGGCCGCGGCACTAATGTACTAATGTTTAAAGTTCTGCTAGGTTGGACTATCAGTCTTGGAAGGTGCATGTTCTGTCTCCTCCATTAGACTAAGAGTTCCCTGAGATTTAGGAATCTCATCCCAGGCGATTTCTCTCAAGTCCCTCAGGCAAAGGTTTACTGGGTTTTCAAGGGCAACAGGACTCACCCCAGGAAAAGGCCTCTTGGAGTCCCAGTCTGGGACTACTTTGGGAGATGGCTGCCCCAGATCACTCTCCGAGTCCCGGCTGAAAATCCTAGCCCGGTGACTGTCTGGATACTTGAGCATCGAATCCCGGATGGTTTCCCCCTCCCTGTGCCTCTCGTTTGGGGCCTCTGGCTCTGGGCCCGGGAGCTCTGCAAAAGGAGAATGGAAAATCAGGGCTGGGGTCGGGGGCAGCCTTGGGTTTCCTCTGCCTCCCCAACGTCATTTCTCCGCTAGTCCCCTCACACCCTTCTCCTTCGTGCCCCCCAACTCTGTCCGTGCTGCAGTACTGGAGGCCAGGTATCAAAGTGCTGAGGGGGCCACACCCACCAGGGGGGCGGGAGGGCAGGGTCCAGGCCCCCAGGTCTCCGAAAATACGATTGAAATCCCGAATCAGTTCGTCAAAGCCAAAGTTATCGTGGAAACGCATCTCGTCTTCAAGGCCAAAACTAAAGCCAAAAGTGAAGTCTTCGGGGGACCTGGGGCTTCCAAACCGGGGACCCCAGGCACCTCCTCCTCCTTCTTCCTCCTCATCTTCATCATCATCTTCTCTAGTCATCCCTCCAAAGAAAGGATCCCTGGGTCTGAGAGGTGGAGAAAGAGCCACAAAGATGTCCACACCGAGAGGCAATTAAAGCAAGCCGGCAGCTCGGGGTCGGGGGGGGGGAGGCTGGGAACGTCGGGGTTCTTAGGCGTTGTGCACTGGTGTTTTTGTCAGAGTGTGCAGTTGGGGCCACACGCCCCCCACCCCCCACCCCCCGCCGCCGCCACCACCTGTTGGGATAGCTTGGCTGGGTGTACCATATGGTCCGGGGAGATGGAGGGAGGTGTTTGGCCTCCCTGTCGGAAGGCCACCCCCCCCTTACCCGTTCGAGCCCCACTCTCACCTCTGAGGCCCCGGGAATCCGAAAAAGCCCCGAAAAAGGTCGAACAGGCTCATCCCTCAGGCGGGACTCGAACCCTTCACCTCCCCGTAACCCAAGGCCCGGGAGGGCACCGGAAGGCCAGGATCCGCCACACTGCCGGAAAGTGATCTTAGGACCGAGGGTGGGCGGGTCGGTCCCGCCACACTGCCGAAAAGCGAGAGGGCAGTACGACCGCACTACCGGAAAGCGAGAAGGGCGGGCGGACCAGCCACATTACAGTTGATCTAGACTTTAAGGTAGTCCCGACACTGATGAAAAAGTAGTCATAATGTCGTAAAACGAGCGTGAGAGCGGGCTCATGGGAAGGTGGGAGAGACGAGACCGGGAGGGAGGCTGGACCAAGGGGTGGGGCGATAGACTGGAGGTGGGACAGAACTGGAGGGAGGCGGAGCATGTCCGAGGCGAGGCGGAGGAGGACGGGGTTTCACTCCCGTGAAGAGATTCATAGTTCAGTACCGGCGGCTTCCCGGTTGTTAGGGTCTTCTTGTCTCGCAGAGGAGAGGCTTTCATGGAAGCAGAATCCCTGCATCCTTCCATCCGTCCGTCTTTGCCCTCCCGGCCGCTCCCCGGCGGGGGGGGGGCCTTTAGGGATCGCACCCGGGGTGGCATCGGCTCAGCCCCTGCTCCCCGGCCCTACTGCATTGAGTGATTGACGCCCCCAGCCCCTCCAGAGGCTTTGTCTCTACCGAAGACCCTACCATTCTAGAGTCCAGAAGCCCTGCGTTATGTGAGGGGAGGAGGGAAGAGAACAGCCCGTGCAACAGGAAACCCGGGACCCCTTGGGCCGGAGTTGTTGCGGGACCTCGGGCAGGAAGAGGTTGGAACTCGGTCTGGTCAGGAAACCTAAGCCAGAAACAGTGCAGGGCCTCGGCACAACCCTACATTTCGAGGGCAGCCAGGTGGTGCAGCGGATAGAGTACCGGCTCTGGAGTCAGGAGGACCCGAGTTCAAATGCGGCCTCAGACACATGGAAAGTCACTAGCTGTGTGACCCTGGGAAAGTCATTTAACCCCAATTGCCTCCCAAAAAAAAATATAAAAAAACCCCTAAATTTCAAGGCGCCCTCCCACAGTCCACCCCCCGCCTGACCAAGTTGCCCCCAAAGCCTTGCAGGATATCTGGGCTGAACCGAGATCTCCTTTGAGAGAAACAGGGGAAGACTCATCACCGGGGCCAAGCGAATAGGGTTGTCCCGCCAGCCCCTGGTGGTTAGCAGAAGTTGTTTACATCAGAACGGGACATGAGAAGCTGGGGAAACTCCTCAGTGGAAGAGTACTTGGGTAAGCTGTGTGTCCGGGCAAAAACAAAACCTCAATAGAACTGGGCCCCTCACTGGACGAGATCCAGGTGACCGTCTCCAAGGTGCCTGTCAGTTCTGACGTTTTAAAATTCTGATTCTTGACAGGCTGGTATGTCTAAAAGCAAGGAGATGTTCAAGACATCTTCAAAGTGCTTTCTATGTTCACAAAGGCAATTGGAGACATAAGACAGATTTACTCCATCCTCACTCTTAATTATTAAACTTTGTGGGAACAAAAGGGTTAAGCTTTCCTTTGGCCCCTAGGGTAGCACAGATCCTGGAAGTAGGGAGAACAATGATTCGATGGAAAGGGAAGCTGGAGTTGTGTGGTGCCCCCCCCCCCAAGTATGCTCTCTATTCCCACTGCTTTCTACCTAAACAAGACCCTCAATGAGATAAGTTCAGGAGCCTCTTTGGGAGAACAGTAAGAACTAGTATGTCTTCAACCCCAAGGAAAAAGAACACCACAAACTGGTTCTGCCAGTGTTGTGTACCCTTCTCCTGGGTGCTTCCCAAGTAATCTGTTTAGAGCAGCCCATGTTCCATTGCTTTTCTGTCTGAAAACATTGTTTCCAACCCAGTTTCTCCCCACTGCCCTTCTCACTCCCTAGTTTAACACTAAAGGTGAGATGCTTCTGAGAACTGAGCTGAATGACTGTCAGGGTCAGGAAGAAGGGGACACCGGCACATCATAGTTAAGAGTTGTTAAAGGGCGAAGATTTCATTTTATTCCACTGCCTTCGGAGCCTGCTAGTAGAGGCCCAGTTGGTACAGTAATACTTATTCACCCAGCTGGTCATCAGGGAGACTGAGGACATCCTAGACGAAGCAAGAATGGGCAGAGGCTGAAGGTAGAGGTT